TATCTTGTTGGAGAAAACCAGTCAGAACTGAGTTGAAGATGAAACCAACATCATTGGATTTTCTCAGGTGCCGGTCCAGCAGCAGAGCGACTATTTCAGTTTCAGCAACTGAAAAGAATACAGAATTATAACTACAGATACAATCACAGGACAGAGTGAAAAACACAGATGAACATATCTCTCTGACTGATCAAAGAGTGTAAGAGGGAGTTGGACTGGGTTGGAGAAGCATTCCTGGGAATTTTGTAACTTGTTCTCCCTTAATGCAACTACAATCTTCAATCCAAACCCATTCCCATCTACCTTTTTCTGCAACTTCTCTCCAAACCAACAATTCAGACCCAAGATCCCCGTACAAGTATACAGCCTCATCAATCCCCACACACTTGGTACTAAACCAGTTTCCTTTGCCCCCAAGAAACTTCCTTCCCAATTCCGTTGGCACCATTTCCACCAACGCCCATTCATCTCCAGTTCGAAGCTCCCATATGCAAGCTTGTCCCTCACAGTCTCCCCCAACAAGCGCCAGCCTTCCCTTTCGCCTCACCAGAGTTGCGAACTCCGTTGATCTACCTTCGGCACCTTCACCTCCTTCCACAAACCAGTGCTCACCTCGAAGCCCATTACGCTGTAGGCATGGGCAGATGTCATACAGAAACCCATCAGAGTACACACTCTCATTCGGGTCCAAACTGTCAGCCTCATTGCAAATTCATCACAAGGCATCCATCCAAAACTCTGCTGCCATTTATCAGCTCGCGAATCATACATTTCCATCGTAGGTTCATATGTGGTACCCCCACGGGTTGCCGTCAACATGCCTCCGGCGATGTAAACTCTGAAGGAGGAGAGAGCATCATCTCCAGTCTTGTCCACCCCAATCACGCCCACAGCCATGGCTGGTGCGTGGGGTGTTAAAAGGGGGAAAAAGTCTGTGACGTCTGGTGAACAGGTTACACAGCGCCAATTGGAGGGGAGAATGAACGGCGAGGAACCACGGAGGTTGTCACGGCCAGAGCCCTGCCGAGACTGTGTAAGAAGGGCAAGTCTTGCCACACGTCTGCCAGTGCTTGCAGGCTGTTGTAGCACGAGGTAAGGAGTCCGGCGAGAGGAAGGAGAAGAAACACAAATAGCTGAGTGAAGAAAGGTTTCTCATTAAAAACAGAAAACCAGTGGCCAATACCGGAACTAGCTCTTTCGACTTTCTTTACCTCCTCACCAAATTTTTGCGGTTCGGAAGTTGTAGTGGCCGTCGTTGCTTTATTCCAAAATCACTGCCACGCTGCAACTTCGAACGGCAGCGGTGAATAATAAGGGTAATTTGAGAATTTTAAAATAATTATCAATCACCTGATGTCACATGTCACGTGTGAGTGGAGTGTGAATTTTTAAAATAGAATAATACAAAATTTTTAAAATAGAATAATACAAGAAATATAAAACAATTTTAGACACATCTATAATATTATATATTAATCATATAAACAAAAATAAGTATGATAAATAATAATTATTTTATCAATGATATAAATGAAATGAAAAAAGTAAAAATTAGTTTGAAAATGAAAACCATTTTCATATCTAGATGATACATCAATGATATAACCTTCCAAGTCAAATGGGTCAATCCATGATGTTACGACTAAGTAATAAATATTAAAAATATATATAAAAACTCAAAGAAAAATATAAAGCTTTTTGATATAATTCTAATGTTATATATTCATCATATTAAACCAAAATAAATGTGAAAATAAGAATTACTTTTAACAATGATGAAAATGGAGTACAAGATTTAAAATCAACCAAAAAAGCAAATGGTTTTCTTTTTCATCCAAGTGATGGGTTGGTGGTTCAACTGTCCACATCAAATGAATCAACATATTATTTTATTATTAAATAATAAAATACATAAAATTCTAGAAAATGTAGAAATTTGTAAATAAATTTGAGCACATTCTATAATATTATATATTCATCATATAGAATAAGTGTGATAAATGAGAATTATTTTCATTAATAATGGGATAAAAATTAGGAGAAAAAAATAAAAATAATTAATGTCTAATACATGACTCCACTAACCATGTTAAAGGGATATATGATTTAATTAGCTAGGTCACATTAGGAAAGTGGTTTGGTGGTAAATAGACCTACAATCTTGAATTAAGTGGTGGACTGATCAATCTAATCAATTGATTTGACCACAATATTAAAAACCAATATTTAAACAATATATTTGAATTGTTTTTCCTCCTAGTAAATAAGTAATTTTATTATGTCATAAATTAAATAATAAAAGATAACAATATAGAATTTTTTATAAATTTTATAAAAAAAATGAACATGAATTAATATTATATATTATTAAACAAAAATATTTAAAAAAAATGTGAACTATTATTAGCAAAGATAAAAATGGCTAAAAATAAAAAAAAAATGAAATAACATCTTAACCATAGTCCATTTTCCTGGTTAAATAGATTAATGGTTCAATTAGTAAGGTCATTTAGTTATTGACCAAGTCAATGATTTTTTTAATAAAGTGGTTTAGGTTAAAACATACTAAAAAAATTGTGTTCAATTGACAAACTAATAAATCCAACTCTATGGTTCAACCACATCTTGAAAACATTGATAGAAACTATAAGAACATTTGAAGTTAAGTCTTTGAATTGAAAGACAACATATCCACCATTATGCTTTGATCAATTTTCTTTGTTTTATGAATTCTATTAAAACACTAAAATATTATTATTGTCATCATCATTTGAGACTGGCACGTGCACATTTATTAGTACCATTAAAGCTCCATATCGTTAGATATGAAACAACACAACCTTTCACTATAATGGCCTAGACCAATCTGCAAAAATCAAAGACTCTTGGTGTCCTCTACAACTGATCTTTGTCAACGTAACCAATCTGAAGCTCTTGAATATTCAAGTAGAAAAAGAAAACAAAACAAAGTGGTATTATCCATTAGGGTATATTTGGAACAACAAAACATTACATGATTGATATACAAAGTATGGGAGTGTCTTAGTAATAAACAAACTAAAGAGTAGGTCTTAGTACTAAGGGGGTGTTTTAGGGCCTGTTCATTTGCTATAAAGTTTGACATCTGAAAGTATAATAATTACATTAAGAGGTATATTGGTATTGGTGAACTTTTTTTTCCTCTGAACTCTGAATTTTAAATTTTGAAAATGATCAAATATCCATTTTGACCCCATATATGAGAGTTTTTGTTTGTCTTTTTTCGGGGTATCATTGGAAAACAAAAACTTGTAATAAGAGATGAGAGATAAGAGGAAATGAACAACTAATTATATTTTAAAATTAAAAGGTTCCTCTCAAGAGATAAGAGTTAAGAGCAAAGGAATAGGCCCTTAGTGAATCACCTTTTATAAAACAATCAAATCATGGGGTAGCAAATTCAGGAAATGCATCATAAAATATCAAAACATAGTAGATGAGGTGGTTTGGTTACATGCATAGTCTACATCACCCATTAGAAGAAGTGATCTTTTATAAGTTTTCACTTGAGCACTTCAACTCATTAAATGTTAGAGTAATGTTCGGCCATGTGGTCCTTGTTTATAATGAAGCGAGATAAACATTATAAAACTCATCAATTTGGAATTGAATAGACTTTCACCTATAAGCATCCTAGGGAATAACAAGTATTCTCTCTTTCACACTCTCTTATTCTTACACTTGCTCTCGCCTCGGTGCCTTAGTTCTTTGATCACCTTGATTGACTTAATCGTTGTCAGAGTCTCTAGCCCTGAGCCCACACCTTAGGACCTCTGATGTTTTTTGTGCTTACAATTGAGACCTATAGCCAGTCTCAACTCCAGAATTTACTACACTCGTTGCCAAGTTTGATAAAAACAACAATGATGATGATTCTAGTGTTTTCTTATCAAAAACTCATGTAACAAAGATAAATAATAGAAACTTGGTGTATTGGTATATTTATTGTCTTTCAACCCAGAGACCTAGTTTCAAATCATCACACTTGTAGTTTATATCAATGTTTTCAACTTATAGTTGAATTGGACAGTCAAATTTTGTCATATGAACAAATTTCTATGTTTATATTATACATATTCATGAATTAATACATGACTCTAGGGATGGCAATTTTCTCCATCCCCGATGGGTAACTGATTTCCTTGACCCAACGAGGTTGAGGATGGGGATTGTTTTGGCGAAATGAGGACAAGGATGAGGATTAATAGTGATCCCCGACCAAGGTCAAGGTTGAGGATGGGGAATGAGGTCCCCGCCTCACTCCGACCCCAATTATATATTAAATAGTATTCATATTAAATATATATTATTATATTATATATGATATTATATATACATATATCAAAATATATTTAAATTATTATTTATTTATTTTAAATAAATTTATTTTTCAAGAAAATACTATTAATTAAAAAATTTCAAAGATTTGGATCCCCATAGGAAACCTATCCCGTCAAAGATTAAATTTTTATCTTTGTTAAGGATAAGGATGGAGATTTATTCCAAAATTTGGGTTGGAGATAAGAAATATGATCTCTGCCAAACCTTTCCCGTTGCCATTCCTACATGACAGTTCTAATTCCTTAGCAATAGCAATATTGGAGTTGGAATAGGATTCAATAGTGAGCGTAAAAGATAGACATGCCCAGCGAAATAAAGGAAAAATAGCCCAACCAAGTCAAGTCCAGTTAGCTTGGGCCTATGTAATAATTCTTTTTCTTGTATTAGACATCATATAATTTAAAATTTTATACACAATTAAATTATAATTTTTTGATGCCATAGGCCCACAAAGCTTGGCCCATAGGCCACATACAAATTGAGGCCTAGGCTTAAATTTAGGCCCAAGGTCCGGTTGGTTTCCCACTTCACTCAGCCTCTCAGATTTTTGCAATGTATAGGGTAAATCCGTCATTACACAAAAACAAGCGGCCCAAAATAGATTACAGAAGATTTGCAAGGATAAACCTGTAGAGGGTAGACCACCTCTCTCTCTCTCTCTCTCGCTCTCTCTCTCTTGCTCGCGTCGATGGCGACCTCTTCTCTTCTCAGTCGTCCACAACTCAGAGGTAAATTATGAACTTCATGCACCATAGATGCCCATTTTCTACTCTTCATATTACATTTGGAAATCAATATTGATTTAGTAATCCTTGAATTAACTTTCCTTGTTTCTTCGTAGGACTTCCTCCTCCTCTACGAAAACAGAAGATTTTCAGCAATTCAGTAAGTTCCAAATTTGATTATCCTTTTCTTTTACAATTTCCAGATGTGAGTGGTAGCGTACACCATAAACACTTAATGTTGATTGTTCTGAGTCCTGGATAGATAAAGTTATGGATGTCTGTGTCTGAGGGGGTGGGCGGGGGAGGATATTGATCTGAGAATGCAGTTTCATAGTTTCTATAACAGCTATATAATGCAAAGACCGAAACCATCTTCAAGACAATAATGATCCGAACGTCCTCTGACCTGGGTTTTTACTTTTTAGTCTAAAAAATGGTACCCTACAGTCTGTCAGGATAAGGAAGATGGTTTTAATCTCTAATGCAGTTTTCGGTTTGATAGAAAATAAGAAAGAAACAGAAATTTGAGCGAAAGTTATTTTCGAAATTCCTTGAGAACTTTCCCTCAACTTTCTGTTTCCTTCTTATTTTCTGTCAAACCAAGCATAGTCTAACCTTGATTCTTGAACACCTAGAAAGTTTCAAATTTGCATTATATCCTTGCAAAGCCCTTACAGAATGAGAACTTGGTCATTAGTCACTAAAATTTCTATTCATCCCAAAAACCAGTAAGGTAAAAGATTAAAATAAATAAAATAATTTGCTCCAGTCACTTGTTGTAACATCTATGATAACCACAAAATCAAGAACTTACCAAAACCATGTCTCCTCTGAAGCATTGAAGCTGGTTGACTAACAATCAACTTTGAAGTTGCCAAGCACTTTCTTTTGAAGTGCCTTTTAGAGTGATTTATTTTTGTTTCAGTTCAGTGATGGAGGAAATGCACTGCACCTATTTGATTACAGGAATGGTTGAAGAGCCCAACCAAAAGAAGCCAGCACCATGTCTCAAGCATTCAATGTGGGACATACTGTTTCCTAGGGAATGTAGCAAGAGGAGTTGTCAAGAGTTCACCTTTGGATGCAGTCATTCTACATGAACAATTTGAGGTCTCTGCAAGTGTAGAAGATTTCTATAATATAGCAAAGATACAATACAACATCTTGGAGAACATGGTGCTGGCAGACCTGGACCCATCATCTGCAAAGTTGTTAATTGGGATCCTGGGTCCCATTCTCCCTGCATTTAGCTTTCTGTTCATCCTCCGAATAGTTATGTCATGGTACCCCAAGCTTCCTGTGGGAAAATTCCCTTATGTTATAGCTTATGCTCCTACAGAACCACTTCTTGTACAAACACGTAAGTTGATTCCACCCCTTGGAGGAGTAGACGTAACCCCTGTGGTCTGGTTTGGATTGATAAGTTTCCTGAATGAAATATTGGTAGGCCCACAAGGGCTTCTTGTACTTCTTTCTCAACAGGTTTAGCTGTTGACAAAAAATTTGCATGGGAATGATAGAAATGTAAATACTGAGATGAAATTTTGTATTCACTTCTCATTGAATTTGATGACTCAGTACAACATAGTAACTTCTCATCATTTCTACATTGTTTCAACTTGGTTGTTCCATGATTTAGTAAAGGTTGAGAAGGTAAACAATGAACAAACTATTTGCAATTTGAAGGGTAAACTACTACTGATCCTTTTTTTCTTTGGCTTCATAAACTGCTACTGATCCTTTTTTTCTTTGGCTTCATAAACTGCTACTGATCCTGATAATATGCTGGAACACCAGAACCACAAGTCATACAAAATCCTGCTGATACTTGAGAAACCATACCTGAGGCAGCACATCAAGTAACAACGAAAACATGTTTGCTCATAACTTGACATAACCTGCACTCAAATGCATATCCCCTAGTCTATACTGCAGGATGTTTAGAAAAAGTGAGTTTTCTGTTTCAGGATGGGAGTTGCTTGACATTTTAAACCAAGTCTCTGTTTTTGTTGATACCTCCCCACAAGGTCTGTCAATGGACTGGATATTGGTCCAACCTGATCTGGAAGTATGAGTCCATTACAGATGGACCAGTTTCAATCCAATCCAATGTATATTTGGACCGTTTTGGAGCAGTCCAATTCAATGTCTGGACAATCCAATCTGTTCAAATTGGTTTCAATTTAGATTGGGTCCAACCAAAACCTGGTCCATTGAAACTCATACTCTTATGTTCTGTGAATGACCTGGATATTGGTTCAATCTAACCCAATCCAATATAAATCCATTATGGATGGACCAGGTCCAATCCAATCCAATAAATATTTTGGACCATCAAGTCTGGACTGGTCCAGTTCAATGTCTTATTAGTCCATCCAACCCATCCAAATTGATTTTGATTTAGACAGGTCCAACCCAAATCAGGTCCATAGACACCCGTAGTAGTCTACACTGCAGGATGTATAGTTAAAGTGAGCAAAAGGAAAAGGGTCATGTGAATTGAGTTAGAACTTAGAAACTGTTGATGATAACATGGCCTTTGTCTTGGTAAGCATTGTAAAAGCCTGCACAATGACCAATAAAAACGCACCTATAATCCAACTATCCAAATCAACTACTACTCTTTTCAACTTGTATTTGAAATGGCTCTCATGTTTGGCACCATTTATTAGAAATTTGGCCTTCATCTTGTCTTGTCTTAGCACCATATTTATCATTTTTCTTTTTCTTTATTCTCGATCAATCAAAATAGAAGAAGAAAAGAGGAGCAGAGAATCCCTTTACTGCATCAGGGGAGCTCAACCTTCGGTTGTTCTCCCTTGTAGCAGGTAATTACTAGCTATTGGAGAACTTCGTCAAAGCAAACGATTTGATTGTCTTAATAGTTGGGGCGTGTATTGTAACAAGAGTTAGAATGGTCTTGCTTTATGATAAGATACACCATTGCTTTTGAAGATTTACAAGGGATGCTCTTGAATCATAAAATTAGAATTGCTGCTCTAAAGTCCAACTTGCTAAATGCTAATGTAGCTACAAAGAATTACCTAGATAACAAATCTTCCAATTTCAAAGGCAAAGGTCCTAATAACGAATCTGTTAAGGTCTTAAAAAGTTAAATGGCTTGCTTTGATGCATTCTAACAATCTTAAGCTTTTGGTGTATTGGTCAAATACTCAAATATGTAATATTGGTTATGTTATAATAGGTCTGACAATCTTGACCCCAACCCACTCACCTTGTAACCCACCCATTCTATTGGCGGGTCAATATGGGTCGAATAACCCATTAGGGTCAGTGGAAAAGGGTCAGGGTGGGTTGAGTTGAAGGTACCCATTAGGGTCAGGATGGGTTGGGTCGCGGGGGTCAGGAAGGGTTTGGTCAAGCACCTATTTATACTCGCCAAGTCTAAAAAAAAACAACAGTTGAGGTGACTCAAATTCAAGCTTCCTAGCATGTCCACATCTTATTACAATTCCAAACCATCATACCACATTTCATTTTGTGATTAAAAGCGAAATAAAATAGATTTTATTAACTTTTGTTTTCACATGCAATTTTACACGAAAGCACTTTTATGAAAACAATTTTATAAAGTAATTTTATGGAAAGTACTTTTACGAAATCACTTTTACATAAGTATTTTTATGAAAGCACTTTTACCAAAGTAATTTTACACGAAAGCACTCTTACAAAAGTACATTTACACAAAAGTGCTTTTACAAAAGTTCTTTTATAATAGTACTTTCACGGAAGTACTTTTACAAAAGCACTTTTACACGAAAGCACTTTATGAAAGTACTTTTATGAAAGCATAAAAACACTTTTATATAAGTTAAACATTTTCTTTTGTATCTTTTGAAATTTCCACTATTTTCTATATTTTTCTGTAATGTTACGGGATTTTTCTGTATTTTTACAATTTTTTGGTGTTTTCTACATAATTTCTGCATTTTCTGGTGTTTTCATGCATATCCTGCATTTTTTTTTGCAAATTTTCTGTATTTTACGCAATTTCTAGTATTTTTCTGCATTTTTGTAGAATTTTTTATTTTCTGTATTTTTTGTAATTTTCTGATTTTTTTGTAATTTTTTGGCATTTTTTGCATTTTCTTTAAATTTTTCTGCTATTTTCTGCATTTATCTACAATTATTGCATTTTGGGTATACGGGTTGACCTGGCCCATTTTTGTCATGTAGTCTTGAGAGAGATGATTCTCTCAAAAATGTTTTTTTCAGATATACGGGCCAACCCAACCCGTTTATGTCACATGGCAATCTTAAGAGACATGGTTTTCTCAAAGATGTTTTTTTTTTTTCGGCCATACAGATTGACCCAACCTAGTTCTTTCACTTGGCATCCTTGAGAGAGATTATTCTTACAAACATTGTTATTTTTGGGTATATGGGTTGCCCTAACCCATTTCTACCACGTGGCAGCCTTGAAAAAGATGTTCTTCTAAAAAATTTGTATTTTCGGGTATATGGGTCGATCCAACCCGTTTATGCAACGTGACAACCTTGAGAGAGATGCTCCTCTTAAAAGGTATTATTTCAAGTATACAGGCTGTCTCATTGTCCCCACTCATTTCCATATTTATAGGTGAGGGTAGGTGGGTTAGTATGGATGAGGGTGGCTAAAGGTCAATATGGATGGGTCAAATGGGTCAATATGAGTGGGTCAGGGTGGGAAAGGATTGGGGTGGGTTATGACCATTTAACAAGGATTGATGATGGGTCATAGTGGATTGGTGGTTCAATATGAATGGGTTGGTATTCAATCCTTACCCAACCGACCCATTTGCCACCCCTACTCCTAAAGGTGAGATGACTTGGCTTATTGTATTCTAATAGTTTTAAGGCTTTTAACATACTAGATGGTACCCGTGCGATGCATGGGCTTATTAAACAAAATTGAAGTAAAAGGAACCCTATGATATTATTCCCAATTGAACTGTATCATTTCAAAATTAATTTTACAATTTTATTAAATTATAAACTATGCATTAAACAATATTGAAACAAAAGTCCTACAAAATTTCTAATTGATTTGAGTGGCTCCAATTTCTTATGTTTCTCATGATAATTTATAATTCAAAATATATCATAATTATTGTAAGGAAACAATGTAATACTCATTTAAATTAATAAATGAAAATTAATTGTTTTATTTTTAAATGTAACTCATATTAATATTGTTACTGTATTTTCTTATGTTATTTGTGTTATTTATTTTCATATTTTGTATTGTTTTCCCTTTGCTTTGTAGTTTGTATTATTTTATAATTTTCTTTTGTTACTATTATCACTTTATTTATTTGTCATATTTCATTAATTGTTTTATTATTATTTTATTAGTTATATTATTTGTAATTGATTTATTAATAAAAATCTGAAAATGTATAATAAATCAAATTAATAAAATCCATATAGGGACGGGTAGTGAATACGGATTGCATGAAACTCGTTTAATACGTACCCATACCACATACACCCATTGAAAACAAACAATGAAGGCCCCGTTTTCTTATCATCTTCTTCGCCAGATTGTTAAAACGGGTTTTGCAGAACCCATTTCAATTTCTTTTTGTTTAAAAAATAAGTATTTATTCAAATAAATACTTATTGCATCTAACTTCCTTTTGTGATGCATAGACTTTCGAGCCTAAGTTTAAAGCCAAATATTTGACTTCTGTAACAGTTTCTTTGCTGTCTCTTTGGCTAGGAGTCTGCAAATCTAATTTGTAAAGTTGAAGATGGCATAGTACTCCTTGAAGGGGTCAGAAGAGATGGTACAATGAATAACCTTGTAAGACAAATCTCTACTACATAAATAAACATAGCTTTTGGAAGACAGAACATCTCCCCGATTGACGTCTTTGTAGATGGTGTGGTGAAAATATTAATGAGAATTGGGGTTGCAACTTCTATTCAAATTGTCTTTTGGATAATATTAGTGAGAATTAGGGATGGCAATTTCTACCTTATCCGGTGATATCCGCCCCTACCCTCCCCGATGGGGCTGATGTTTTTGCTTGAAAACGGGTTTTGGGGTAGGAATGGGTTTTGGAATTCTACAATCCATATGGGTATGGTATTAGGCTAAACCCGACCTGCATATTGTTGGAAAGCATATAAGCTTTATTTATTAGGTGTTGAATTAAATAATATTTTGAATTTTATGTGGAGGATAATTGATAGATTATATATTTTTTTACAATTTTTAATCAAATAACTTTTAATCTTGTTGTTTGTTTATGTTATTTTACTTATTTATTGCTTATATATAATAAGAAATAATAAAAAAAATTAGATGTGGGTTCTAAACCCAACCTGCCCTACTGTTGAATGCGGAGAGGGTTTTGCATTTTCATGTAAGGAGAGGGTTTGTTTCTCAAAATGGTTTTGAGGTGGTCACGGATTGAGAGGTTTAGGGAGGTGGATAGGGTCTAGAATTTACAAAACTCTCCCGGAATCCGCCCTGTTGCCATCCCTAAACAAGATCACCAAACATCATTTTAAATAAAAGTAAAAATAAAAAAAGGAGAAAATTGGATAGATGATCTGGAGAAGAGGATGAGAGGTCAAGTGACAACAAGGAGAATGCTAGAAAAGGGGAAT